GATATAGTATTGTTCTATGGAGATTTTATCTGTAAAACATAATCTGAGAAAATGACATGAGCGTCTTTTTTTATATAATTTTTAAGAACTCGGTAATCTTAAAAATTTAGGAAAATATTCTCTGTAATCTGTTTTATTGAATTTTACAAATTTTTGGTTTTAATTTTACTATAGTTACTGCTCTTATTTTCTGGTAATGTCAGGAATGATGCCTGTACTAAAAAAAAAAAAATCGTCACGTTTATACTACATATAAAAAAAAAAAAATTCAAAATTCTTTTAAAAATATTGGTATTTGATGATTTGTATAAAGCTTTTCTATTTATGATAGTTTGTTTTTTTTCCCACTTAATGATATAATCTAAAAGGAAAGATTTAAAACTTAAATTTTTGTAATTAAAGTTTAAAAATCTGAAAACAATTTTTGTAAAAAATTCATTATTTATGGAAAAATTTTTTTTCTTAAGACATTAGTGGCCTTTCATTCCTATTTATAAAAAAGCAATTAAACGCTTTTCTAATATCATCGTTTTATTGTGTTTTTATTTTACGATTCAGGGCAGATATTCGATAAATGATGTTTCTGCATGAAAAAACAAATTTTAAATTCTCCAAGGAGTCTTGTTTTTTTAACAACTATATGAAGAGGGTAGAATTTTAATTTCTTGAAATTTCATAAAATTAAGTTAGTGGGGTTCGTAACAGATTTAAGAAAAAAAAAAAATTTTTACCAAAAAAAAAAAAAATTTTTTTTTACCCCCAAAAATTTAATTCGTTTGTGTAACTCCTGAAAATGTCATTAAAATCCGAGAATTATTTGAGTTTTGCAAGAATTTCCAAAACAATGTGTTTTTACCGCCAAAAAAAAAGATGCTAAAAATTTTCAATACTAATCTTGGGCCCACCCGCACAAGAAAGATACGATTTTTAGCTAAAATTTCGAACATGCTAGAAAGGATTAAAAAAAATAATATAATAAAAAATACTTTGGTCTTTCCTCTTAACAAACATTTTGACGATTTGTTTTCATCAAGTTCGGGGCTTGTTTTTTGTAGAAAATTTTTGGAGGTACCTTTGACAAAGAAGCAAAATAGAAAATTAGTTTATCATATGAACAATGTAAAATATTTGTTTTCAGTTTATTGCCTTTTTTTAACCCACTTTTTTTTTCTTGTTTTTAAGCAGATTTTTATTATTCGATGATCAACACTCAACAGTGTATCTTGTTATGATAGACAATTAAAAATACGGAAAACAAACAACACATTCTTAAAACTTGTGAAATTTTTATTCTTAGTCATATCAATTATTTATTGACATTTCCTAACTAACTGCCTCATAGACTTTACCTCCGCTTTCACAACTGTCCTTATCTTCCTCACTGCCCTCTTTTTTGGTATTTACTTTTTCTCCTTATTACTAACAACCAGCTTGCCTTTTTTATTTTCTTCCTGCTCTACAATTTGTAAATTGAGTTATCTTCCTCATAAAGTGTTTTTTTTTTTTTCATTTTCCCCCGAAATGTCTAAATTGGCTTTGTCACTTTTGCTTACTAACAAAATTGGATTTAGTCACTACCGATAGTGAAATGAAAAGAAAAAGAAGTGACTTATCCTTTTGTGATTTGCAATAGTTCCTTTTAGAATTACTTGATGCATCTGATTTATTCATTTTTTTTCTTTTTTTGAACATTTGTTTCACCCCCCACGTATAGAGTTTCTGCCTAGCTGCTTCTTCTTCCATCCAATGAATGACATCCTGCAACTCTTTCATCAAAATATTTTCCTAAAATTTCATGTTTTTTGCGGCCCTGAAGTACATTTCCTTTTCATTGGAAAATGTTTATCTGAAAATGATATTGAATAATTCAGTGGAGGAAAAGAAATTTGCCATTTTTGTCTGAAATGAAACAAAGTGAAATGCTTTTTTAAAGTTATATCTTCAAAGTGATAAAAAAAAAAAGTTACAAAAAAAATGTAAAAAACAGTTTTAATTGACGAATGGCTATATAAAAAGATGACTATATTGTTTTTTTTTTAATTTTTTTGTAGTTAACTTTAATTAATGCACTGACCAATGTTTGCACCACATGGCAATAAGTAAAAAAAAAAAAAATGATACACTGGAATAAGTAACCAAGTAATCGTTTTAAGTTCGCTGTTACATTTGGACTAATTTTTTCTTTTCTCTTTTCTTTTTTTAAATTTTTTTTTAATACCCTTGGGTGTTTTTGGAATGTTAAACTTTTTTTTTTTTCGAGTGAGAATGCATTTCTCCTCTCATACACGTCACATGGGGTACTTGTGCCCAAGAGCTGGAACTGTTCTCAATTGACCTGCACATTGAACCTGTGACCTTTCAGTGAATTTTCCCAGCCCTCCTATTTTGAGATTGCTTTTAGAACCAAGCCCTGAAATGTTGTTTTTATGTATAATAATAATAATAACCCAATTGAAAAATATGTGAAAATTAAAAGAATTTACTGTTTTTTCAGTCTGACAAAAAGCAGTACATACATAACTAAAGCTAATATTCAATAAATTAATAAATGTTCATTGGACCTATATGATTGGCCAAGTCAAGAATATTCACGCTGGTAGACAAAAATAAATAAATATACCCTTTAATAAATAAATGGAGCATCTACCTAAATATGAGTATCCACTAAGAATAATGTTTAAGTAATAAAATCTGTCTGATTAATCAAGAAGAATCTATCGCTTCTTATATATATATATATATATATATATATATATATATATATATAGTTTGGTTGTTTTTGTTTAGCTGCATATTAATGCCAAAATCTGAATATTTTGTATGCAATCTTATTATTGGAAATAATAATGATTTTAATGATACAAGTCTAACTAATTAACCCACAGCTGTGGAGATAAGAGGTGGATTCATACCTTTCCCAAGGGTATTTGTGCATAAGTGAATATAACAAACTGAACTGGAATTGAAACTCTGTACTCCAGGTTAACAATTCTGAGCCATTACATGTATGTATGTATGTATGTATACTAGATGCACACACATACAAATATGCATTATCTGAATTCCACATATATAAACTAGAATCTTGATACACTTACACACATAACTTTGCACAGGAAGTCAGCTTAACCAATGAAAAATAAACACAAAATTAAAAATACCATATTTTTTTCTCTCACTTATTTTTTTTTGTCTCCATATCTCATTCTCTGATGAAGCTTTAATAAAAGCAAAACGTGCTAGATTAATAAATGTTTCTTATTTGTTCCTTATATATATATATATATATATAGTGCTCGGATGAACTGCATCTCTTAGTTCTACCAGGTCTGACCTTCATGGGTAAGACTCACCATGCCACTTACATCGAAGCAAACCACCTGCATTCTCTCCGTATTCCTTCAGCGAGACATTCCACACAAACAGCTTCTTCCCAAAAAACCACTTCCCCATGAAACAGACTCCCAAGAGGATGTTTTCCAGATCACTACAATCTTCACCTGTTCAAGTCTAGAGTCAACCACTATCTACCACTTATGTCCACATAAACTACTCCTTATTGTAACCCTCTACCTTGAGTTGCTCCCGGACCTTATACCGAGTGAACCTTATTTTAAATATATAATATAAATAAATGATAAAAAAAAAAAAAAACTTTCTTTTTACTTCATGTGGGGGAATGGGCTATTTCGGTATATGATAAAAGTAGTCATCTGTTTTTTTCTTTCTGTAGAGCTACAGGAAGCAGGAACTAAAAGTTAACTATATGGAAGAAATATGGGAAGGGGTCAACCTAAAGCTCTACAGACATGAATTTCATTACATATTGGGGTTGAAAAGACAGACAACCATTTTCATCGTCTGCTGAAATAGCTTATTTCCCACATGAGGTAAAAAATTTTTTTGATTATTCATCATATTGGCCTGTACAAATAAAATACATCACATTCTCTTTTTGTGGATCAATTTTAATATTTTTATATTACTGGGAGCCACTTGGATTATACACCCACAGAATTTATTTTAACTATATATATATATATATATAGAGAGAGAGAGTGAGAGAGACTAAAAAAGAAATTTAAATAACATTTTCTGAATATTTCACCCTAAACTTTCTTCATTTTTCAAGTGGTAAATGAGCTTTTCTTCTATATGTACAAAATAACTTTCTATAAACAAGCATGTATCTGCTCCTACAACAGTTATATAATAGGTAGGCATTTCTATTCTGACGGTTACATTTTCTTTCTAGGTGTGCTTAATAAGCTTATTATTAGGCTCACGTTTTCATAATACTAAACCTTACACTAGAATATTCCTTCCCCATATACCCTACCTTGATATCATCTCTATTTACGCTACCTAAATTCTTGTTGCTCAGCTCTGTTAGGGTGCATGCTCCCAAAATGTCATGATGCACATCATTTCCCCCATGATAAAACCAGCATCCCTTCCCATAATAGACTCCCCAAAAATCTTACAGAAGAATGTCAATCATCTTGTTGTGTAACCCCATTACGCATTACGCATAAAGTAAAAAAAAAAAAAAATAGAATAAAAAATAAATGATACATTATATTTTTTTTTTTTTAATTTTTAAAAATTCTTAATTTTATTCATATTTTTATCATATTTGTTTTAAAAATATGAGTATGTGTGCTTTTATTTATTTTATTTTTTTAACATGATTTTAGTCTTTATGTTGTGTGTGTTTTTACGTTTTGAGTAGTTAAATGCATTCAGATAATTTTTTTTTTCTTTTGAAAATATGCATTTGCTTTTTAAGCTAAAATTCAACCTTAATTTATCACAACAAACAATCTCTTCAGAACGCCTGGATGATTGTAATTAGAAGAATCTAAACATTCTTTTCTGTTGCTTGATAAGGGGAAAAAATTCAAGAATTTATTTGAATTTTAACTTCTAATTATCATATTCTCTTTCATCTTAGCTACTGCACAATAAAAACAGCAAGATAAAAACAAAACTAATGAAAGATGAGAATTTTTTCTTTCTGTTTCTATCAGTCTATCTATCTATTTATCTATCTATCTATCTATCTATCTATAGGGTTGTCCCAAAAATTTGTTCACTTTATTAAGTAGAAAATTTACCTGTAGATTAAGCTTTTTGGCCAACCATATATATATATATATATATATATATATATATATATATTATTTTGTATGGGCAGTACTTAGTGGAAAGAGCTCAAGATGAGTGATAGAGCTAACATATTCAGGTTCACAAACTCTTATCTATACAAATGAATATATATGTATGTATTCAGTTGTATGGATATGAGTTTGTGACCCTGGGTTTCACGTTTTTGTAATCATCAGACAAATTCTTAACTCTATCACTGATATTGAGTACTTTCCGCTAAGTACTGCACATATAAAATAAAATGAAAAATATATATAATTGGTGTGATTTTGAATTCTTTTATCTTTTTTTATTTATTAATTGTAAAGTAATGTATTGAAAATTTGTTGAAAAAAACATTTTCAATTATAATGTAATTTTGTTTTGTTTACTGCTAGTCAATAACATACATACACACTATATATATATATATATATATATATATATATATATATATATATATATATATATATATTTAGGCAGCAATTTTTCATTGATGCATGTTTCATTAAATAATATAGAAAAGTTGTCTTCTATTTATTTTAAGTAAGTTCCTTTCATAATGTTATTAAGCTTATCAGACAATATCATTGAAATTCTTGAATCTATATACATAAAACAGTTGAAACCTAACCTGAACAAAATAAACTACAAAATCTCCACAAATATTCTTAAATGCCTATAATTGATAACAGAAGCCATTGGTTTATACCAACAGCTTCCCATACTTAATACTTGTCGTTTTCACTCTCGCATGGTCATGTGTCATATCATGAGCTGCGGTGCGATTTTCGCTTCCGGCGTCTCATATGCATGAGTTTCTTGTTGCTTGGAAATCTTCCATGCAAACAAAAAACAGACTATCATTATTGTTTTGTCCGTGTATTGTTTAATATATTGTAATGTAATTGTCATCTTTGATAATGGCTTATGTAAGCTGAAAGCTTAAATCAGATTTAAACATGTATCAGTATGGTGATTTTCTTTCGTTTTTTTTTTTTTAATGATAATATTATTAAGCTTATCAGACAATATGAAAGGAACTTACTTAGAATAAATAGACACAACTTGTCTATATTATTTAATGAAACATGCATCAATATATATATATATATATATATATATATATATATAATATATATAAACATTCTAAAACATTTTCAGAATCTTTCAACTTTATGAGCAGGAAAGAAACTATGAAGAACAATGTAAACGAACACATTTTTTTGTCAACAATACTTTTTCTCTGTGTATAAATATAGTTTTTCTCAAATTTTTTACATTTGCCTTTAATGAATTTCCTCAAGCAACAGAACATTACAAAAATGAATTTTCCTCTTATTTCTTTTTATTAATAATATATATAATCTATCTGTATATATACATATATATAATCCATCTATCTCTCTCATATATATAGTGAAATCTATGACAAAATGTAAAAAGTTTTCATGTGACTTGTTTCATCTTTTAGGACTTTATTGCAGTAAACCCATTTAGAAATATCTAAACTATTAGCTGTATACAACTGCTTTCTCAGATCAATGGTTAAAAATGGGCTTGAGCGAATGAAGTTTGTGGCAAAGACCACACATTTTCAAATCTTGTGGACTGGCATTATAGAATCTCAAACAAAGAATTGTACCAGATAATAGAAGCAACATCCATTGAGGACTTTCAGCAACAGCTAAAATGAATATCACATGTAACTCAGAGAAAATAATGGCATAATCAAGATGTTAACGTTCCATACTACTTCAAAGAAAAGGTTAGGAAGACCCCCCCCACACACACACTGGAAAGAGTGATAGCAGCTACTGGTCTTGAGAAACTTATTTTCCTGAAAAATAGTTTTAAGAGAAAGGTTTAATAAATTTCAACTGAACATAATACTGGCTGCTTGGTCAGTAAATGCCAAATATTTCTTTATAATGTTAGCATTAGAGATGAGAACAGATGCTACACTTTGATCCTAGCCTGATAGACAAGAAGTGAAGAAAAGTGTAACTTGAGTAGCACTGGCTGCTTGGTCAATGAATGCTGAATGTTTTCCTTATAAGGAAACAGTTAAAATATTCATTATGTGAAAGGTTCATGAAAATGCTCATGTCAGATATTGAGAAAGCTCTTACATTTTCATAAATGTCATGTGTCACACTTTACAAGAAAAAAGGAAGTATGTGTTGATATGGTTTTCGTTTTTGTTAAGTCTTGATCTGAAGCTGTTTCTCTATGGTGGTAAGGGAGTCACTTGGTATAGATTTTTGTGCACAACCTGACATTTTTTATTTGACTGAGTACAGCCTGCTGCAAAGGCTTATATTGATCTGTTTATAGGTGATACAAACTTGAAAATTCTTGAATTTAATCAAACCAACATTGACTGGTTTAGAACTTTCTTAATTAATTATATACTTAATTAGTTTATAAGTAATTAAATGACAGGATGAGAAAATTCTGTGCAACATGTTTCATCCTCTAAAAAGGACTTTGTCAGACTAAAGTAATTTTCTTATTGATGGAATTGTATGTATGTAGAGGGAGGGGGAATATAAACATAATGGTTGGTTATAATTATGCATCAAGAGCTGATCTCATTTAGTTTCTTGAACCACCAGGACCTTTTTTTTTTTTTTTTTTTTTTTATAATTTATTTTTTTTTTTTTTTTTTTTTTTATTTTTTTGAAGAAAAAAAAAAAATCTCACACAAAAAAAAAAAAAAAGAAAAAAAAAGTATTTGGTTCAGTGAAGTGTTTCCTTTGTTCTAATAAATCTTTATAGTGGAATATAGATAATGTCTGAAATTTTAAAAGAAATATTTGAGTAAGTGTCATGCCATTTCTGAAGATGAAATGTAATATTGGTCCTCTTTTTAATCACTATAGCATTATACATTAAAGTTTCAACAAACGTATACTTTCATGCCCTCAAAAAAAAAAAACAATGTCAAAAGGATGATTTTTTTTTTCTCCTGATATCACTTTTATTTTAACTATCGTCACTCTTCAGCAATGTTCATTGTTTTAAAAAGCAATAATTAGAATTGTAATAAAACTTAAACATGAGATGATAAACTACATCTGGCAGCAAAACTTCTGATCAGGAGCTAGAAGGTTTTGAAAAGCATGAAACCACTTAATTACTGTTGTTCTCAGGTCCACCTTGACGTTTTATCTGTAGTTGAAGGCATACAATTGTGTTCAAAATATAATTAGTTGAAGCCATAAAATAGTGTTCGAAATATTTAAATTTCAGCATTAAATAATCCATAGAGTTTGATATGCGACTAACAAATAGAACCAAACCAACCTAAACATGATGAAAGTGAATTTATAGATTTTCTTTGTTCTTGAGAATTTACAACAAAAATAAACACTATTAGATTGTTTATTGGAATGGTTGGTAAAACTTTGGCTAATTACCAGTTGATTTGAACCTTCTAAATTGGTAAATAATAAGGATTTCATTATAATTGGTTCACATATTTTTATAATTTAGAAAATGTTTTTAAATTTATGAATAAAAAATTCTTGTATTTATTTCTTTATAAATTGGTAAATGATAAATATTGAATTGCATTAGTCTTAATGCAATTTATTAGTTTTTAGAATATTGTAAATATTAAATTATTCTTGTAAATAAACAATCTAATAAATAAATAGCCTTTAATATTTTTGTTGTAAATTCTCAAGAACAAAAATGTTTCATATACAATTCCTTTTAATACAATAAACATTGCAGAAGAGTGAAGGTAGTTGAAATAAATGTTTTCATGGGAAAACTACTTTTGGAACTCATTTTTTTGTGGCGGCATGAAGGTTCATGTTTGCCAATTTGTAGTTTTATTAAATATATGTGTATTAACTTAAATAGGAGGATTTTTATATTTTAGCCTTGTTCCCAAATTTAACTATAATTATCTATAAGATGATGGGTTTTTCTTCTTTATGTGCCAGGATTGACTTATTCATGTAAGATTCTACTGGACAAAAAGTGTGGGTTTGATTTTCTTTTGTCATAATCCTAAATTGATCACCCCAGAATTACTACATATTAATGTACGTCTTTAGGTGTTTCCCTCTGGCTTTTCTATAAATACATAGTAATTGTTTGGATGAACTTTCTTCTATGTTACCTAGAATTTATGAATTTAAGTGCAATACTAGATTGGCAGCTAGGTCTTATCATTTTACTGTTGAAATGGCTAGCTATGACTGTAAGTTCTATGCTAATAGTTTCTTCTCTCTCTCACTTCTGGAACTCTCTTTTGGGCCTCTTGCTTCTCAGTCAGCTTTGATCTTCGAAAATTTAAAGGCAGTGTCAATTATCTTATTCTGTTTTAATCCCTGTTCTTTTGTTGTTCTTACTCCTTAAAATTAATAATATTTCTTTTTCTTCTATTCTTTCACACTCAGTAACCCTCCCCCCCCGCTTCTTGGTGGCTTTCTTGCCCTGCTTGGGATGGAATGTGAGTTCTACTCAAGCAGCAGCTTCCTCTGAACTCTTGCTATATGGAACTGACTCCCAAGAGGTTGCTTCCCCGATCACTATAATTTTAATCTGTTTAAGCCTACATTCAACTGTTACCTCCTCACCCTGACTAAACTGTACCACTTACTCTGTAACCCTCTACCTCAAATGGTTCTTAGGCCTTACATCTCTAATAATATATATGTGCAATATATATATAATGCCATTTTTTATTGTCTTAAGAATGAAGTTTTTTTTTATTTTATTTTTATTTAATGCCGTAAAACCTTCCTTTTTATATGAAAAGAAAGGATTTCTAATATCTTCAAGAACATGAAGGAAGTCCAAAGTGGATAAATTGTATTGCGCTAGTCCAATAACTTCAAAAATATTGTGATAACACTTTTTGTATAATGCTTCTAACAGTTTGCCATCAGATTTCATTTTTTGAAAATAAAT